CTCCCCAGATGGCAGCCGCCTCTACACACACCAGGTGGCCACCAGGTAGGGAGGGCCAGTTCCCAGGCAGGAGTTGGCAGAGGACAGGCCCCAACCTTCTCACCGGGCTGAGATGCTTCTGGACCTTCTGTTCAGACATCGCTTGTGGGGCTGATGTGGGGCGGGGGTGACCTTTCTGGGCAGCCTCCGTCAGACGAGCGAGCTGGCTGTGCCCACCCCCTCCTCCCAGGTGGTATCGAGCCCCGGAGCTCCTGTATGGTGCCCGCCAGTATGACCAGGGCGTCGACCTGTGGTGAGACTTCTGTGGGCTGGGCACGGGGGAATGTGGGGTTGCTAAGCCATTTGGGGGCGTCTTCGTGCTGTGAGCTCTAGGTTGCCTTGGGGGTGTTTTCCCTCGTTGGGGAGTCTCTGAGGAGTTTGGGGTCAGTTTTCACTTGGGTGGGGGTCAGGTGTGATGGGAGCGGGAAGCATCTGGGCTGGAGTCAGGGAGGTGGTTGAGGCTCAAGGCATGGATCCTCTAATCTGGGAGGCAGGGGTTGGTTATATGCCTGGGTGTGAAGGCTCTGAGCTTTATTTGGGTAGGATGGTTTGTCCATGCCTAGGCACTTGAGATTTAGGGGCTGTTTTGGAGGTCTGTCCCAGAAAGTGAGGAGTGAGAGACGGTGGCTGCGTGTCCCAGAAACTGAGGCTCTGAGAAGTCTCAGAACCACCGAGGGGGTTGCTATGTTTTCTAGGGTTGAGGCCAGTGAGCTGTTGGAGAGGGGGACCTGGTCTGTGTTCTAGGCTTGTGGGTTTTGTTTACGAGTCTGTAGCCTCAGGTACGAAGCCGCTGTGCTATTCTGTGGTTCCTTGGCCCTAGTATGGGGTGTGGGCGCAGTGTGGCGAGATCTGTGTCATAGTGTGAGGCGATCGAACTGGTGTGGGGAGATCTCTGAGCTGTCTGGGTCTGTGTCTGCAGGGCTGTGGGCTGCATCCTGGGGGAATTGTTGAACGGATCCCCTCTCTTCCCTGGGGAGAATGACATCGAGCAGCTTTGCTGTGTGCTTCGAATCCTGGGCACCCCCAGTCCTCAAGTCTGGCCGGTTTGCCGGGGTTCCCAGCGGGGAACGGGTGGGGGCAGGTGTCTTCCCTTCCCCCCAACAGCTAGGACCACCCTCTGTGCCTTTTCTCTTGTGGCTCCACACCTCCCTGGCCCCCTCCCCTCCCCCCAGACCACTGGCCTCTCTTGGCGGCTCCTCCCATCCTGCCCTGCTGGATGCAGGAGGCCGGGTCCTGTCCCTCCCCTCCTGCCGGCACACTGGCACTTTGTACACATGCCTGAGACGTGGGGTGGGGGGGGATGACTGGTGAGCAGGTGGGCCACGGCCGCACAGACTGATGACCACGGTCGTAGGAGATCACGGACCTGCCCGACTACAACAAGATCTCCTTCAAGGAGCAGGCGCCTGTGCCCCTGGAGGAGGTGCTGCCCGACGCGTCTCCCCAGGCCCTGGACCTGCTGGGGCTGTTCCTCCTCTACCCTCCGCGCCAGCGCATCTCAGCCTCCCAGGTAGGGTGACCCCGTTTCCCTGACCCTCCTCACTAGGGGCCCTGTGATAGGCTGGCACCAGAACCCGGGGGGCCACGGGCAGGCGGGGACCCCAGTAGAAGGCATGGCCACCTTGCCGGAGAGCGCGCCTGGGTTGTGGGTGACCGGCTGCCTCATCCCTCCAGTGGATATTTACTCTGCATCTGCACACGCCTGGCATCTTCCTGGGCCCTGGGGGTGGGCAGGTGGGACTGACTTGGGGGGGGGGGTGCCAGTTTAAGCTTGGGGAGGTGTTTTTCAGGGAGAAATGTTGAGCAGAGGTCTGGCGAGGGGGACCTGGAAAGGGGTTGTGTGGCTGGGAAGGAGAGGCAGGACCATGGGCTGACATGGGAGCCTCTCTCGGGTGTACCCGTGCCCACAGCCTCACCGTCCCCGTGCCCTGCCCACCCCAGTACTAGCAGGCCCCTGGTGAGCCGTCTCAGCGGACCAAGGCTGCTGGACCAAGACCACCTGCCCGCCTCCCTGTCTACGCCACTGCCTCTCAGATCCTGCTTGTGTCTCTTCGGGGCACCCTCCCCTGGCAGGCCAGCTCAGACCCCAGCAGGGCTCTCCTGTGGCTCCCTCTCCGAGCAATCACATGCTGGGGGACATCACCTCTGTGACCCTCCTGGCCACTCTCCCCCCGCCCCCGGGCCCCAGGCCTGCTGTGTGTCCTCAGGCCTTAACTGTGCGCCTCTGGGATCTCTGCTCCAGCACCCCTCCCTGGAGCTCGCCCGCACTGCTCTGCAGGCCCGCAGCCTCTCTGGTCCCCTCAACCTCCGCAGTCGCTCTGACAGCACTAGTCATCTGACGCTCCCTGTCCCTTTCTCCTCTGTCTTGTCTGTCACCCATACCCCTGACTTGGGGAAGACTCACGGGGAGGCTCTGTGTTCTGCCCCCTGCTGGCTCCCGAGAACCTGTAACGGTGTTCAGGTGCTGAGCACGTGGAGATGCTGTGGAGCAGGTGTGGGAACGAGCCTTGGCAGGGCAGTGCTCCATCCTCCCTCAGAGGCAGGTGAGCTGAGGTTGGGACGGGGAGGTGACTCATTGCCTTCTGTCCCTTGATTGCCGCCCGCAGGCCCTCCTGCATCAGTACTTCTTCACGGCTCCCCTGCCTGCCCACCCCTCGGAGCTGCCGATTCCCCAGCGCCCAGGGGGACCCACCCCCAAGGCCCACCCGGGCCCCCCCCACGTCCATGACTTCCACGTGGACCGGCCTCTCGAAGAGTCACTGTTGAACCCGGAGCTGATTCGGCCCTTCATCCCGGAGGGCTGACGCTGGGCCCGCCCTGCCGTCCTGTCCCCCAGAGCCCCCTGGGCTTCTTGTTTCTCTGCTGAGCCTGACCCGACCTCCTGTGGCCTCCACACAGCCTCACTAGGTCCACCCCTCACCTGGTCTGCTCCCAGGCTGGGGATGAGGACATCCGGCTCCAGCAGAGGGGACCTACAGCCGGTGCCATTGGCCTCCCATGTGCGTGCTGCCAACTGACCCATCAGAGGGACACCATGAGCTCCGTGGCTGTGGCTGCCATGGTGCTGGTTGCAGGCCCTGCCTTCCCGGTCAGGGATGGCCCTGGTGGAGCCATCTAGGGGAGCAGAGAGTGTAAGGTGTCCTCACGTGGGAACATGAGTGGGAGGGCAGCTTTGTTTGATTTTGTTTTCAGAGGCATCGAAAGCTAGTTCACTTTGGAGATTTATTGTAAAAAGCCCAGGTAGTTCTGCCTGGTGTCAGCCCCCCTCCATTCCTACCGAGGGAAGTGGCCAAGGTGGCAGGCATCGTTTCCTGGCCCTTGTTTCTCTGTGGTCACCAGGAATGCGGCTCCATTCACGGCTCCTCCAGTCCTGGGGGCTTCATGCAGTGGGGCTCCCATTTGGAGGTGCAGTGGCAGAATTCAAGCCCCAGGATGGCTCAGGTTGGGGACCGATCGGGGTCAAGCCACTTACCAGCATCTCTACCCTGAGGACAAGGGTGAGCCAGGACCAGACGTGCCACCTCCTTACTCAGGTACAGAGCAAGTGAGGAGATAGGCATTCTTGGAAGTCATTTGTTAATTCAGTAAATCCGAATACTTAAGCCCAGTTGGCTCTTGTTTGCTTGCTTAATAAATTTTGATCAGCTGATTCTATAATCTACACAGAAATGGAAGGGTTAAGAGAAGGCAGAAGAGAAAAACCAGGGAAGGACTCACTGTTAGACCTAAGACTTTTCATAGGGCCTGTTGAGACAGTGCAGTCCTGGTTCAGGAAGAGTTAAAAATGGACCAGAGAGGGGCGCCTGGGTGGCGCAGTCTTCAGGTGGCGTCCGACTTCAGCCAGGTCACGATCTCGCGGTCCGTGAGTTCGAGCCCGGCGTCGGGCTCTGGGCTGATGGCTCGGAGCCTGGAGCCTGTTTCTGTTTCTGTGTCTCCCTCTCTCTCTGCCCCTCCCCCGTTCATGCTCTGTCTCTCTCTGTCCCAAAAAAATAAATAAACGTTAAAAAAAAAAAAAATGGACCAGAGAAACAAACATATCCTTAGCAATCTCTTACTCTTAAAATGTGCATTTTGTTCTTCATGTGGCTAAACCCGTGTCAGCCCTGAGCACAGGTGACACTGCCAGGCATTGCCTCCAAGCTTCTGGGGAAATACAGAACAATAGACACAGCATTGCTTTCAGGGAGAGGTCTGATGTTTTAGGGATCTGTCCTCTGCCTGTTTGTCCAGCCACATCTTCTGTCGATGCCAAGCTCCAGTGTAGCTAATTTCTGGAAGCTCTCAGCTCCGTTTAAATTTGAGCCTGTACCCACGTCTGGATCACTGACCCTCCACAACTCCATCCACAGGATACTCTAAACTTGCCCTTGAACCTGACCTCACCTTGAATGTCAAGGTCAGAGTGAGGCTGAGGGTCACTGTGAAAGCAAAGGTGAGGCCAGGGTGAAGATCCCAGTGATGGTCACAGTGAGTGTCAGGGTCAGGTGAGGGTAGGGATTCAGGATAGCGTGGATGGCAAGGTTGAGGGTTGTGAGCAGGGCGAGGTTGGAGGAGGGTCAGGGTCAAGGGTGAGTGTCAGGACCAGGGGCTGGCCCGAATCTGGTAAATGAGTGGCCCATGTCAAAGGCCAGGTTGAGAGCGGCAAGGGTCCGAAATGGAGGACAGGTCAAAGGTGAAGTCAAAGGCCAGAGCAAGGGCTTGGGAGGGGCTGGGTTCAAGACCACCACAATGTCCAACGTGAGGGTCAGTGCAGGGGTGAAGGTCAGAGTGAGAGCCAAGGGGTGGTCAGAGGCAAGTGGAAGGTCAGGGAGGAGCGGGGCCGACTGGCTCCAGCTTAAGGCAGAGGATTGACCCAACAGAACGGAAGCATTGAGCACTGGGTGGGTGTAGTCTGCGGGGCGGAAGTGGGGTGGGATGGGCGGGGTTTGGCCGTCCGGAGCGGAAGGAAGCATCTTGGCCTGCTCCTCGGCCTGCGGGCCAGAAGCACGGCGTGATGGGCGGGGTTTGGCCCTCGGGGCGGAAGCGTGGCGAGATGGGCGGGGTTTGGCCGGAAGGCCAGAAGCGCGTGGAAGGCGTGGCCGGAGGGCGGAGGCTGGGCGGTGCGGGCGAGATGGAGCCGAAACTTGGGTTCCATGAGCTCCTGCACGTTTTCTCCTTCCTGGAGGCCCGAGACCTGCTCTGCGCCGCCCAGGTGGACAAGGTAGCGCGCCCTGTCCGGGAGGCAGGGCTGGCTTTATGGTTCCTGCGTGTCCAAGGCTGGCCCTTTTCTGGGCCTCAGTTTCCCCGTTTGGGGGGCGGCGTCCGGCGGCCAATTCCGTGGTGGGCCGAGCGCGCTGAGGCCGGGGTGGTGACCTGGAGGCTTGTGTGGGTGCTGCGAGCCGCCGCCCCGGGGACTTCCAGAGCCCTGTTCGCTGGTCTGCTGCGGCCCCCCTGCCATCAGCTTTCACTGCCTGGATGGGCTTGGGGGGCCTGTTTCCTTGCCCCTCCCACCTCTTCTGGAACATTCTATAATTTCCCTCTGGGTCTTGTCTGGGAAGCCAAGAGTTTCCTGTAAGTGGTGAGTCCCCTGGGGTCAGGGCGCCCGCACACCTGGGTCCTGGCTGTCATCCGCCCCGTGTGCACCTGCGCCGGCTCCTCCTAGGGCTGCGCACAGCTTAACTGCTGGTATAGTGTATGCAGTTCATGTCCGCTTTCCCCCCGCTGGATTCGTGCCTGACAGCCAGCATCCTGTCTCTGGCACCCAGCGTGCCCTTTGTAAATACTTGTCGAGTCAGGGAATTTCATAAAGGAACCTAAAATACATTTGTTAACCTTAGATACAAAACTGCCAGTTATCTTACCGGCAAAAATGGGTTTGTTTGGGAACAACGGAGAATTGCAATTCAAGACCAGCGGGGCCTGGCAAAACCATAGGCGAGTCCAGAGAAGAAAGCTGAAGAGGCTCTTTTACCGAGGAAGGCGAGGCTGGAAGGGCTGTTGCGAACTAAAAGTCCATTGCAGTCAACTGGGGACTGGAAGTGCGGTGGCTTCTCCCTGGCTGGGCTGTTGGGAGGTGGGGTGGGGAGAAATCTTACTCCCTCTGAGGCAGTGAAGGAGTAGCTAAACTAGCATTGGTTTGCAAGGTGCCGGGTCTGCAACTGACCAGGGCTGTGGCCTGAGAGCCCCCCGCTGGCCTCCAGAGGATTTTCTTTTTCTTTTTTCGTTTTTAAGGTTTATGTATATTTTGAGAGAGAGCGTGAGGGGGAAGGGGCAGACAGAGACGGAGAGAAAGGATCTGAAGCGGGCTCTGTGCTGACAGTAGAGGGCCCGGTGTGGGGTTGAACTCCCAAACCATGAGATCATGACCTGAGCCCAAGGCAGACATTTAACTGCCTGAGCCACCGAGGCGGCCCTCCTGAAGATTTTCCTTATTAATTGTCACACATTATCATATCGTTTTACAGAAAGATCAATAAACAGATTCGTGTTTGAATTCCATAACTATATTTAAAATGTGTCAGGTAAAATACCGGGTTTTCATCCCCCTTTTTTTTTTTACCAATAAAGAGACGGTCCCACCCAGCTAGTCCCATACAGGGCTGGGACTGGATCCCTGCAGCAGGCTAGGGATGGCGCAGAGGCAGAGTTAGGAAGGAGGGCCACTTGTACCCTTGGGCAGCACAAGCTTCTCTGGGACATGGTTTCCCTGCTGGGTAAGATGAAGTCAGTTATTGTTGCCTCACTGTGTTGTCGTGAAGGCCAGCATCTAACAGAGGGGTCCTCTGGGTGGGTAGTATTTATTTTTCAGATTATATTGCACATCATACTCTGTGTTTGGGAAATAAGGTCTCAATTAGGCTTTGAACTGGGAACTCCATAAAAGGAAAATGCGTAAATCTTCTTGACTGTCTCGGCTTGATTTCTGCAAATTATAAACTTTACATTCCTGCCAAGAAGACCGAGGCACTTTGATCCGGCAGGTGAGCAAGGGCTGTGTGAGCGGGGCCCGGGCTGCGAGGATGCTGTTTGCTTCTGCCAGGGACTGGCCAGCCAGGTTCTGGGATGGGGCCTTCAGTGCGTCTGGACCACACGCAACTCTCCAGAGTGGTTCCCTTGGAAGCTGTGTGGGCTCCGGGATTCAGGCTGGCCTGGCTGGAGAGGCCAGGGCTTCCCAGGACGCAGCTGTGGGTCTGGGTGAGGGCAGGCATGACACTCTGGTTCCCTCAGATCAGGACTGACTGATCCCGAGCCTCTTTCTTTTTTTTTTTAAAGTTTATTTATTTTTGAGACAGAGAGAGACAGAGCATGAACGGGGGAGGGTCAGAGAGAGGGAGACACAGAATCTGAAACAGTCCCGAGCCTCTTTCAAATACTTCTGCAGGGGGCGGTTTATGGGAGCAGGGCTGACTGTCTCCCAAGATGGCTGTTCTACCATCTTGGCGTCTCTGGGACACCCTCCAGGCCAGAGCCTTTAGTTACTCCTCTGAGGCAGCCTTTCTGGAGCCTGTTGCCCTGCCCTCATTTCCAATTCTTCCTTCTCGAAGGAGCCAGTGATCTAACTAAACAGGCTACCCCGCCACTCCTCCATCCACAATTGCCAAGTGGCTTCTCACTGGTTTTGCCATTACGACTTTGCGAGTTGGGTCTAAGCAGATTTCCAGCTCCTTTCCCCAGAACCCTTTACTCCACTTAAGGCAGAATGCTCACTAGTTTTTTCTCACTTCACAGTCTTTGCTCCAGTAGTTTTCTCTCTCCCTGGAATGCTTCAGCTATTGGGGATTTTGTCAGTAATCACTTCTGAGCCCCTCAGCTCCACCGACATTGTTAGACTCTCCTTTCTCACTCTTGATTGTTTTTATTGGGCCGTCCACATATGTCTGATTCCCCAGGGTGAGTTTTGTTGCCCACAGGCACTGAGGCTGATCTGGCTCTCTGTCCCGTCTACGGTGCCTGGCAGGCTAGGTGCCCACTGCATACAGACTGACCAGACTTCTCTGTCCTCTTGTTCTAGGTCTGGAATGAGGTTTCAGGGACCAAGGAACTGTGGAGGTAAGTGAAGGAAGAGCCAAACGTGGGCAGGAGAGGGTCCTGCGAAGGTGAGGGGTGTAGCGTGTAAGTGTTTTGAACACCGTGTGTCTGGCTCTACTGAGTACATCAGAAAGGACAATCCGTAGCACCTGTCAGTGGGGAACTACTCCTGTCATGCATGTAGTGAATACTTTTTTTTTGTAGTATATCGAAATATAAGAGATTTTATTAATTGAATGGGAGATTGACATGCATCAGGAGTACCAAACTTGGGCAGATGTGTACAGCAGATGCATGTGGCCAGCTGATAGAAGACAAATCAACAAACCACTTTTATTTTTTTATTTTTAAGTTTTCTTAAATGTTTGTTTATTTTTGAGAGAGAGACACACAGAGTGCGAGCAGGGGAGGGGCGGAGAGAGAGGGAGACACAGAATACGAAGCACGCTCCAGGCTCCGAGCTGTCAGCACAGAGCCCGATGCGGGGCTCGAACTCAGGAACTGTGAGATCATGACCTGAGCCAAAGTCAGACGCTCAACCGACTGAGCCACCCAGGCGCCTCCAAATCACTTTTATTTTAACTCATCTTTGGTGTAACAACATAGCTGTGTATGAACGCATATGGTACTAGAATTTTTCAAAATTTAAAAAATTAAAGTTGAAAATAAAAAGTATCTTAATCATTAATTTATTAAGTTTTTTTCTTATTCTTTTTCCTTTGGAACCTGACTCCTTTTGACCCAAGAGAGGAGTCTCACATCTTCTGTCTCTTGCTGAACATAAGACAGGCTGTGGCCTTGGCTGTCCACTAGGAGCTGTGTTTAGTTTTAGCCACTTATGATGGAAAACAGCTGTTCACACACAAAGAATCTTCCACACTTGGAGGGAATCTCTGCTTGATGGGTTTTGCTTTCAGGGTAATGTTGCAGTTGTGGTCCTTGTGGATTCTGGATGCCAGGCCTGCCACTGCCGTGTTGGGTGTTCTGTGGCATCTGTTGCTTCTCATTCACTTCTTATTGCTAATGTTTGTTAGAAAAATGATGCTGATCTCTTCAGTTAGTCTTGAAGAGAGCTTTTATCGGATTCCAGTCTTCATCTCTGCACTTTGGGGAATGTCTCTGGAGAGAACATTCAGTTCTGGACGTTGATTTCTCTGTAGGGGAGTGGATAAGATTTTTTGTCTTCCCAAATGTGATTCTCAATGACATTGTGTCCTGTGAAATAAATGGATTGGCTCCTGGGTTGGTGTATTTGTGGAAGTGCTCGCAGAGCCGTATTCCACATTGGAATAGGTAGGAAGCCAGCCGTAACCCTGCTCTTTGTTCTTGTCTCTGCTGAGAAGCCAGGAAGGAATTTGAGTGACGGGAGTGAGTTCCTTCCCACAGCTCAGAAACTATCTTCTGCGGCTTATCACCTGACCTCTGTGCGTACGTGTGTGTTACCACGTTGTGCCTCCAGGTGCCTTGGGTAGATGGTTTGGCGTTTGTAAACCAAGTCACAGAGTGGTTTCAGTTCATCACTGTTTCATAATTGGTGCTGAACTTTTAGCATAAAGTCATTCCTCAAGATTGTATCCTTGGACTGCGTTCTTATAAAAACCCTGGGTTTAGGGGCGTCTGGGTGGCTCAGTCCATTAAGCGTCTGACTCTTGGTTTTGGCTGAGGTCATGATCTCACAGTTCTTGAATCAAGCTCCACATCAGGCTTCGGATTCTCTCTCTCTCTGCACCTCCCCTGCTCATGTGCGTGCGCGCGCGCTCTCTCTCTCTCTCTCTCTCTCTCTCTCTCTCTGTTTCAAACTTAAAAACACACACACAAAACAAAAAACACTGAGTTTATGTTTCTGGAGCTGGAACAACAGTATTTCAGGAGCATTGTCATCTGTGGTCACATGCATGTCATTTCTGATGCTGTGTCTTATCATGAGGACCAGGCCCCAAAGTTCTCCAGGCCTGTTAGAAATTCTCATGGACACAGTCAATTAATGTAGTTAACTGGTCATGTATTTTTAATATGTATTGTATAATTTTATTTTGTTTCTTTTTTTAATTTTTTAAAGTTTATTTATTTTGAGAGTGAGAGAACAAGACTGCGAGCTAGGGAGCGGCAGAGAGAGGGAGGGAGAGAATCCCAAGCAGGCTCTGTGCTGTCAGCACAGGGTCCAAGTGGGGCTCGATCTCATGAACCATGAGAGCATGACCTGAACTGAAATTAAGAGTTGGTCCCTTAACCAACTGAGCCACCCAGATGCCCCTGTATTGTGTAATTTTAATTGGAAATGCTGCAAGGTCCTTTTTTTAATGCCTCAGGACCTTTTAAATTCTGTTTCTTCAATACAGTAAGTGTTATGTTTTGGTTAGAAATAAAATCGCAAATATTTGCTTTTGTTTAAGGTACATAATTTCTATTGTGTACAATAGATTATTTTGTCATTAGTTGCTATCTGAAAAGTTTTGGTATCAGTATTTTTTTCACTTGATATATTGCAATTCAGAGGCATATCACATAATTTATTCATCTTCATACTTCAACCTTTTTGATGGTCTGCCTTCATTTTTGTCAAATCACTTTTTCATTTCTCGGTATTGCTCATAGGTCCTACTTAAGTTTTGAGTGTGTAATATGTAGAAATAGACTTAACTTCCACAAAGAAATGTGCCTTCTCCTCTTTTTCTTAAGCCACGTTATTTTCTTGGTCTAGCTTTTGTTTTCACACTCTTCAGATTGAGGTGCGGGTGCAAGAAATTTCCCTGTCTTCTTATTTCAACTCAAAGCCAACAACAGGAGTGCTGGTTTGAGGTGTCTCGGTCTCACCACCCAGAAGAGAAAAGAGACGGTGAAGCCGAGGGCTCGTTCTTGTGTGAAGGGCTCAGCTTCATGTGGCTCCAGATCCCTTTTGTCCGATGGGAATTTAGGTTCAGCATAACCAGACCCCCTGCCTTTTCCTGATTTTTATGTGAAAACTCAAGAGTTTTAAGTGTCGGCAGCTAGTTCACTGGGCTAATCCTGTGCAAGCCAAACAGAATAATCTGGGGGTCCATTCTGCCCACAGGCTGCCAATATGGTGCTTCTGATAGAAGGACTAGAGTTCCAGCAAACACAGTAAAACCCGTTTGGAGCGCAGGCGGTGGATCCTTCTCCGTGTGTTAGAAGGTCCCTAGTGCCTAGCACAGGCCTCGCGTGGAGGTACTCGGTGAGTGGAGAGGCGATGAGGACTGGGTGTGGTACTTGTTGAGGCCACGGACCGTGAGCCCCGCATTTCCCACCTGACCTTGTGTTCTCCATGAGGTAGGAGTGCTGGGCTGGAGCCACATGATGCCACCTCAGCTGTGGGGACTGTAGATGCTGGAAGCCTCTGCCCGTGAAGCCTCCCCAGTCCCCTCCTGGCTGGACATCCGCTCTTGGTGCTCAGTTCCCATAGCTCCACATGTTGCCCCTCCTGAAACGCCACGTTTCTGCCCCGCACTTTTGTTCTGCTCATCCTCCTCCCAATCACTGGCTGAGAGTGCCCTCGGCAGAAGCCGTGTCTCACTTGCTCTGGTGCCCACAGACCGGGTGGGGATTCTGTAGTTCTCTACAGTGTGGCTGAGCTAACATTTCTCTCCTGAAAAGTCTCATGATGAGAGAGGTGCTGTCAGAGAATTGACAGTAGTCGCACGGAAGCGCAGAATGCAGGCTCTTGGGAAATGGTGGATTTGAAGTTTTTCTCCTCCCTAAAAGCAACGAGGAAACTGGCACAAATTGTCAAAATCAACTTTTTCAGGACTCTGGAAATTAACAAGAGTCTTGTAGTAGCTTAGGAAGTGTTTGTTCAAGAAGAAATATTTGAATCTTGGAACACCAGGTTTTCTTGCCCTGTTCCCATAAAGCCCTCCAGTTCTGTGTTAGCCTTGGATGTCATCAGCGCACAATCACAGCGAGACCAGGAGCCTGGCAGTCACTGGAGGGAGAAGGATGGGATTGGATTTTCGTTCCTGGAAAATTGTCATTATTTGACCTGTCTGGTATTTCTTGGAAGACCCCACGGGCAGACTGTTTTTATTTGGTCTGACTTCGAGTTCACCCAGTATGAAAAGCCTTTTCTTTGGGACCTTTGTCCAAATAATAACAGACAATTGATGAACTTTGTGATTGTCAGAGCTGATGGACAGCAACTGAGCAAACAAGTAGGCTAACCAAAAAGCTTAAAAGGAAAAGCCGAGGATGTGACATCTTTAGGGACTTGGACCTTGAAAAGCTGTCACATTCCTGAAAAGCCCAGGCACGTGTAACAGGGTTGTGCCCAAACTCAGGGAAGACCTAAGAAGGCTCTACACTCACATGTTTGGCTAACCCTGAGGTTCTGTGCAAGTAGGAAGTTAAGTCTAGGGCAGAGTGGTCAACTACCTTACTGGGTGTTGAGTGCATGCCCCAACATGCACAGAAGCCCTTTGGTGATGACTGGGAGAGTTGGTGGTTCTAGGTGTTTGGGAAATCCCTGTCCAATCATTAGTGAGCACTAATTTAACTGGGCGAGAGTTCAGTGGTCACAGGTAACAAAGAATGCAGGCTTTTCAGAATCTATTCAGAAACATCACTAAACAAACAATAATAACAGTAAGGAGGTAGAACAACAAATCTAGGGGTGGGGTCAGATTTCCAGAGTTCCACGTTATTTAAAATGTTCAGTTTTCAACAAAAGTAATGAGTCATGCAAAGTAACAAGGTGTAGCTTCTACACAGGAAACAAAGCAAACAACAGAAACTGTCTTTGAGAAAGAACAGGCCTTGGACCTACTAGATGAAGACTTTAAATCAGCTATTTTCATTATGTTCAAAGAACTAGAAGTAGGACAACGTCTCATCCAATAGAGCATATCCGTGAAGAATCATTATAAAAATAACTAAATAGAAATTAGAGAGTAGAAAAGTATGCTATTGACCTTTTTAAGTTTTTTAAGTGTTGTATTTATTTTTGAGATAGAGACAGAGTGTGAGCAGGGGAGGGACAGAGAGAGGGAGACACAGAATCCAAAGCAGGCTCCAGGCTTTGAGCTGTCAGCACAGAGCCCGATGCAAGGCCTGAACTTGTGAACCACGAGATCATGACCTGAGCTGAAGCTGGACTCCTAACCAACTGAGCCACCCAGACACCCCAACATTTTTAATTTTAAAAACTCAGGATTTGAGCAGATAGAAGATAGAATCAGTGAATTTGAAGATAGGTCGGTGGAGATTATCTGAAGAATAGAATGAATATGAAGAAGGAAGAAAAGTCACCAGTGCCTAAGAAACCTGTGGGCCACCATCAAGCATGCCAACATTGTATAACAAGAGTCCCAGAATGAGAGGAGAAAGGCAGAAGGAATAAAATATTTAAAGAAATAAGGTGTGGAAACTTCCCAAATTTGATGAAAAATGTTAATTTATACATGCAAAAGCTCAATTAGCTGCAAGTAGGATAAACTCAAAGAGTTACACATCAAGATACATTTGAGGGACATCTAGATGGCTCAATCAGTAGAGCATGCAACTCTTGATCTTGGAGTGATGAGTTCAAGCCCCACATTTGGTGTACAGATTGCTTTTAAAAATAAAATATTTAAAAGGAGCCATTATAATCAAAGGAGAACTGAAGACCTAGAATCTTGAAAGCAGCAAGAGAGAGGCAACTCCTCATGTAGAAGGGAACCCCAATGAGATGACCAGTTGATTTCTCATTAAAAACCATGAAGCCCAGAAGGTAATGGGATGACATATTGAAGGTATAGGAAGAAAAGCTTGTTACTAAGAATTGTATGTCTAGAAAAATGAAGGAGAAAATGAGGACCTTTTCAGATTAGCAAAAAGCTCAGAGGGTTTGTTGCTATATGCTTGTCCTACAAGAAATCCTAAAGGGAATCTTTCATATTGAAATGAAAGAACATTAGGCAGGAAGTTGAATCCACATTAAAAAATAAAAAAACACTAGTGAGGTAACTCTACAGGCATATAGAAAAAGCAGTATAAATATATTTCTTATTTGTAAGTCTTTTTTTTCCTGTATTATTTAAAAGACAACTGCATAAAACAACTGTAAGTCTCTATTCATGTATATTTAACATGTAAAATGTAATTTGTAGATGTAGCGGCACAGTTGAGAGGAGCAGGAAATGACGCTACAAAAGAGCAAAGTTTTTGAATAATGTTGAAATTAAGTTGCTGTTGGGGCACCTGGGTGGTTCAGTAGGTTAAGCATCTGACTCCTGATTTCAGCTCAGGTCATGATCTCATGGCTTGTGGGTTCAAGCCCAGTGTTGGGCTCTGCACTGACATCATGGAGCCTGCCTGCTTGGGATTCCTCTCTGCTCCCCTGCTCGGGGAAAAAAAAAAAGAAAGAAAGAGAAATTAAATCGATATTAATTAAAACTAGATTAGTCCTCAAGGCAACCACTAAGAACTCAAAAAACATGATAGAAGAAATGACAAGGGAATTAAAATAGTATATCAGAAAATATTTAAGGGGTGCTTGGGTGGCTCAGTTGGTTCAGCATCTGACTCTCGATGTCAGCTCAGGTCATGATCTCACAGTCCTGAGACTGAGCCCTGCATCAGGCTCTGGGCTAAGTGTGGAGCCTGCTTGGGATTCCGTCCCTCTCTTTCCCCACCTCTCTCACTTGCACCTGTTCTCTCACTCTTTCACAAAAATAAAAATAATTAAAAAAGAAAATATTTAACACAAAAGAATAAGGCAGTAATAGAGAAAATGCATCAAACTTACAGACATAAGTAGCCAAATAACACATAAATTGTGTCTTATTGATTACATTGTGTATTTAATGTACACTCCAATAGAAAGAGGCTGTTAGAAAGGATAAACAATATTCAACTTTATGCTGTCTACAAGAGACATACTTCAGATTCAAGGACATAGATAAATTGAAATTAAAAGAATGGAAACAGATATAGCATGCAACAGTAACCGAGGAAAAGCTGGAATGGCCATGCTAATATCAGACAAAATAGACTTTAAGACAAAAAAGCATTACTAGAGAAAGAATGCCATTTCATGATGTCTATCCACGAAGATCAAAAAATTATAAACATATATACACCTAATAACAGCAACAAAATGCACGAAGGGCTGACAGAACTGAGAGGAGAAATAGGCAATTCAGCAGTAAGAGTTGGAGACTTCAAGAAATACTCTTGAATGGCAGTTGCATGACCAAAGCTGCATGCCCTTGGCCTTGGGTCAATTGTTAAGGTTCCCTGTCGTGTACAAGGGGATCAGGTAGACTTCATGGGGGTGTCAGGAAAACTGGCTAATGCACAAGAAACACTGACACCTGATGGTGGTACGCGCTTGCTCATGGTCACTTCCTTGCTTTCCCCATTTTACGGTGGGGACAGTTAAGGCATAGGTAGGCGGAGTGAGTTGTCTAAGCTACTGGATGGTATAGCCAGGAATCAAAGCTAGACCTGTCAACACCACAGTACCTTCTAACGTGTGTCATGTCCTGCCTGGGATCATGGGTCTGCTTTCCAGGCAGCTGTGTCTGAGACGCTGGTCATCCTGTAAAACCTCCCAGATGACCTTGGGCACACAAACATGGAAGGAGTACTATCTCTGCCGATCCGAGCTGGAGTTCCGAATGGAATGTGGGCGGCCAGAGAAGGACTTCATCTGCAAAGCCATTGCCGGGCACACAGGTATGGTGGGGAATGTAGTCCTGTGTGCTTTCCCACTGCTCACTCCTCCTGGTCGAGTGTCGTGGGACTTGGTGTTCAGCCATTGAGCAGGAAGGTGACACTTGATGAGTACGTGCCCTGCTGCGTTCTGCATTTGCGCCGTGTCACTTGGTGCCTGCGGTAATCCTGTGAAGAAGAAATTGTTACATTTATTTCAGAGTAGAAAGAAAGAAAGTGAGATATTAGGCACTTGTTTGTGGCTTTGTGGGTGGTGGGCAGGGGCAGTCCAGGGTGTGAAGCCCTAGTTCTTTCTGTCTACTGCTCACCCCTAACGAGCACCTGTGTGCTTCTGGGAATGCAAGAGGAAGGAGTGTCCTGCCTGTCTTTCCCCAGTCTGAGTGTCCATATCCCAGGCATCTGTGTATGCATTCAAGGCCAGTCTGTGTTCTCTTCCAGGAGAGATAGACGAGCTGGCTTACATCTCAACCAAGGAGTGCCGGTTTGATGGGCAAGAGAAGTCCATGGTGTGCACCGTGTCCTCGGACAGCACCGTCCGTGCCTGGGATGTGCAGGAGGTGAGCCTGTGGAGGGGCCAGGGTGTGACCCGCTGGGTCTTAGTGAGGTCTTTCCCTTTTGCCAGCTGTTTAACCCTCCTGGCCAGCTTGGAGGTGGTGGGATCCCCGTGGTACGGACGAGAACTCTGAGCTGCAGGAGACCTGGTCACACTCGGAACTCAGGTCTGATCGCAGATGGAGCCTGATCTGCCTTTGACTCTGTGCTGCCTGCCTCGGAGAGGTGGCCACCTGCCTCAGTGCCAGTCCCGGGCCTGCGGCGTCTACTTTGGAGCCAGTGCCCAATCTGGGTGGTTTTTCCCAGACAATTGCCACTTTTAGTTACCCTCGTCTACCAATTAAGTGTTGAGACCTTGATAACACGATCGGTGTTTTCACGGTTGGTTGTCACAGTTAAAAAGCTTCCTGGTCTTCTTTTCTCACGTGGTTCTCACAGCAGCCAAGCAATATGTGCATTGTTATCATCATGATTTTATAGACCGTCAGTCCAAGACCAAGAGGGAAGGTGTCTCGGAGTCTTGAATCATGTGGTTCCCTGTAAATCCATGGGTTCTGTGCTTGTAGACAGAACCCAACCTCCTATAAAGGACTTTTTCCTGGATAACTACAGATCAACTCACGATTTTCCAGGTCCTTGCTACATTAGGTAGGGAGCCTGCTCATGTCCCCGTTGGTCAGGTCTGCTGGAAGTGCCCGGTCCTGCTCATGGGAGCCTCGTGCACTGAGAGCAGAGGGGCTCCCCTGACCCCCCTGGCCCCTGTGAACAGGGCATCCTGACTCTCAGCAAACTTCCTTGTCAGTGTGCGAGGGAAGCAGACCACTGGGAGCTGCGTCTTTGCACCCCCATGCTAGCCGTGGGGTCACTGCTCTGCCCACACGTCACGTTAGAGTCTGGTAAGTGTGGGTGTGCACCACATTTGGCCACATGGGGACACTTGAGAGGCCACCCGAGGCTCCTGGTGGTGAGTGAGCCTCAAAAGCCTTAGCTGGGCTCTCGCCAGATCGTGAGGGCCAGGGGGCTGGGGCAGGGTCTGGGGACAGAGGCGGGTGGTGCTGGGTGGGGGACTTTGGGGATGGGCTGTGGTTAGTTACAATTTATTTTGCTTTTGAATCATGAAAGTGAAACAGTTGAGGGTTTGGGAAGGTCAGGACTAGGAGATATTTCATGGGTGAAATAGTTCTCCCTGCCTCTTCTCAGCAGCTCTTCCCAGAGGTGACCACTGTTCAAGTGCTGTCTGAACCGGTTCCCGGTTCAATTCACCAGTGTTTATGTTAGTAGACTCAGTTTCTCGATCTGCATGCTTCGGAGGACATGTTGTCTGCCTACTTTACAGAAACTTCTCTAGTTTCCAGGTCCCCATTCTTATCCCCTATTGTTCTGTTTTGTTTCAAGGGTCCAGAGTCATTTGTGTCCTTTCTCTCTGCTCTATGGTCAGGTTTTCGGTGGTTGTTGGTGGGTTCCTGTTTCTTGTGCTTGGTTTCTAGGGTCATTTCGTGGGAGGGCCCTGCGTGTGCCGGTGCGGGGGGCTCCCTGCCTCCTTGTGCCTTCTCTGAGGACCCGCCTTAGCTGTAGACCCCTAGCCCAGGTGTGTGGATCCAGGCCAGGACCCGGCAGGAGACCCGGCAGCTGGGAGGGCCCAGCACTGCCCAGATACATGGTTCTCAACTTGAAAGGGGCGGGAGCCTGGGTGGCTCAGTCAGTTAAGCGTCCGACTTCGGCTCAGGTCATGATTTCGTGGTTTGTGAGTTTCAGCCCCGCGTCGGTCTCTGTGCTAACAGCTCAGAGCCTGGAGCCTGCTTCGGTTTCTGTGTCTCCCTCTCTCTCTTCCCCTCCCCTGCTCATTTTCTGTCTCTCTTTCTCTCTCAAAAATAAATAAACATTAAAAAAATTTTTTTTAGGGGCACCTGGGTGGCTCAGTCGGTTAAGCGTCCAACTTCGGCTCAGGTCATGATCTCACAGTCTGTGAGTTCGAGCCCCGTGTCAGGCTCTGTGCTGACAGCTCAGAGCCTGGAGCCTGCTTTGGATTCTGTGTCTGCCCTTCCCCTGCTCATGTTCTGTCTCTCTCTGTCTCAAAAAGGAATAAAAACATTAAAAAAAAAAAAAAAAGGGAGGAGAGTGCTTTGGTGCAGACTCAGCCGACATTTTCTGGAAAGAGCCCTGTGGTCCCGTTGCAACCACTCAGCTCTGTCCTGCAGGAGCGGAGAGCAAAGAGAGATACGCTGTGTTCTGGCTGAGCTCGTGATGCGGCTGATGGACAGGTGCACATGTCTTCATGTGTCGTGAAGTATTCCTTTGATTTTTTTTTTTCCACCAAAATACAAATATGGGCAGTGGGCCAAGCTGTACTTGCGTGTGGTCTGTGTTTCCATCATGGGCCTGTTTCAGAGCGGTCTGTGCACATTCTGCCTGGTTGCACAACCTCAGTACTCTGCACGAGCAAATCTCTTGTAGAAGACGACCCCTCTTTCCTCCTCCTACATCCACACAGGATAACCTTCCTGTCCCCACATAATAATGTGTATTCTTAGTATTACATCATCGTGTAAAAGCTGTTCACACCAAGCCAAGAGGCGAACTAACATTTTGCTTTTCCGGAAGTGAATAAATATTCCTAATCTGTTGAGACCACGTTTTTGACTGGTGATACTGGTGTCTGATCTGGCTGTCCATCCGGTTGTATCCTCTGCCCCCGGAGAATTCTAGGGTTTGAGTTTGTCTTTTTCTGGCATCAGTCTTGGTGCCACCAGCAGAGCCCCCTTCCTTCCTGTGGCAGGCGTGTGGCCTGTGGTCCCTGGCGCGTTCCTGCAATCTGTCCCCCTGACCTCCTGCAACCAGGAGTCTCTTGCCTTCTTCACTGACGCTGTGTTCATCAACACTCCCTGCCCTTCCCCCATCACTGGTGCCCAGCTCCTGCTCGCCGAGCTCTTGCTGGTTGATGGTGGTCATCACCTTGCTGCTTGAGCAACAGAAATCAGCTGAGAAAGCAACCCATGGAGGAGTCAGACATCTGGTTGGAAAGAGATATAGATCTTGGTGCAATGAACATGTGCTAGAACAAGGTTGTAATGACCCGGCACTGGAAAGGAGGCCCAGGGGGCAGCCCTGGGACACTGGGACAATGGTTAGTGGATGGTTCTCTGCCGCCCTTCAAGTACCCTGGGCCTACTGGCACTGACTCTTTACCACCGATTCCAGTTGTACAGTCCTGGGAGAGGCTGTGGAATCACCCAGCTCGGGCCTCGGCCAGGGCACGCCATAGGAAAGGGGGTGTTCTGCGCGGGGCAGCACAGACATGCCCTGTGAATATTCATACCTGCGAGCCTGAGTTAGCTGATCTAAATGGGGCTGCCTGAGGACAGGCGAGAAGTTCTCTCTATGCAGCCATAGTGGCCCAGGCTGCGCTCCCTGGCCAGCCTTCCTCAGTGGAGCTGGGTAACCACCGTGTTGCACGCCTGGCCCCCGCCCCCCAGTGCTGGTGGTGCCTCTCAGCCCTGGGGAATTTCCACACACCCTCAGTTTATCCACTGCTCTCCAACGTCTGTGTTGTGCTCTTTGCTGCGTGGATCCCGTGAGGGTGGGGACCCTGCTCTTCCCCCCCTGTGCATCCCCTGTGCGCACTAGGGAATGATTGTTGAATGAACAAAAACAGTACGTTTGTGAAACGAACAGCCCCCAAGTAAGTTGTTATGTTCCTTTTGTTGTTGCCCAGGGCACAGAGATCTGGTCAAGCCCTCTGCAGCCCGCTGCTCTGGTGAACGTGGTGACCTTCCCTCGGCTCCAGCTGGCCATCACCGTGGATGAGCGTGGCCTCATCAAGGTTTGGGGAGCGGAGAACGGATGGGAGCAGGCCTCCTTCCGCCTGCCTACATTCTCGTCTGCATTGCAGGCCTGCGAGCATCCAGAGGGCCCTTTCCTGCTGGTGAGTGACTGGCTCTCAGGAGCCTCTGCGTGTCCTAGCCGTCCCCCAGGGTCGTGGACACTGTGATGGGGGGTGCCTGGAGCTGGGCGCTCGCTGTGGCAGACCAGGCAATGATTCTGCTGTCCGCACAGCCGGTCTCCCTGGCCCCCCTCTGCCAGTCCCCAGGTGTCAGCGAGACCGGGTCGTGGGCTGCCTGTGCCCTTGCTTTCTGCCTCCTGACCTTGCTTGTATTCTTTCTTCTCCCTGCAGTTTCTTCTCTCTTCTGCATTCTTACCCTTCCTTCCCTTGTTTCAAGTCCCAGCTATGGTCCAACTCAGGAGAAGCTGAGGCACATTTGACAAAACATGAGCGTTTGCCCAGGACACCAAAGGCTACTGTTACCAGGATGTCCATTTAGAAGTGACTCAGGCATCGGGAGGGTTTGGTGAGAAGAAACCAGGAAAGTGGGTTTACGGTGGCAGGTGGACGAAGTGGCTCTTGGCTGGAGGCAGTGTCCCCACCTGTGGGGAGGAGGCCCTGGAAAGGACGGGCAGGCTGGTGTCCCAAATATCAGGAGGAGCGGGTATCCTGGAGCAGCTTTATGTGCGCACGGAATCAAATGGAGAGGGACTAAGCTCAGCAAACAAAACAAGTAATGTCTAGTGAAACACATTTCTCATAAACCACTCTGCAATTGTTGAAGACTTTAGAGTAAGTGTGATTGGTATCCTCAGATGCGTTTGAGAATCTGTCACGCAAACGAGGAGGCCGTAGGCTCTCCCTGGGAGTGGTAGACGGTGTGATGCCCAGTTACTTGTCTGCGAAGGGCAGTTGGAGAAGTAGAGCGCACACAGTAGTGGAGAGCAGAGAGCTAGGTGCAACAAAAGGGTCTGGGCCGAGGTTCAGGAGATGCGGCGGAGACCAAGTGCTGAGCCCAACGCTGCGGCTGCTTTGCCCTGGAGACGCTTTCCCCAGGCAGCCGAGAGGCCACAGACCTTTGAGAGCTAAGGGGACGAGTTGGGGTGCAGGGCCACTGAGGGTCAGGCCCCGTGCCTCCCCTTTTACTTGGGGGTTGTCAAGTGGTACGGCCCAAGAGGAGGGTGTGAAGGTTGGCAGTTGCCCACCCTGGCTGCAGCCTGGCACCCCGGCCACCTGGGAGGAGTTTGCAAAAATCCTTCCTGGGCCAGGATAACACCACCAAGACCTCATGTTATTTCCGTTTGCAAATGTAGCATTCAGCACACATTTAGAGCTAAGGGGACCACGAGAGAGGAACTAGTAACAGCCACAGTGGCTGGGTGAACCGCGGGTGACGTCGGGAGAGCCACAGGGTTTCAGACGCTGCAGTTGCTGCACACTGAGACAGCTGTGGCCTCTGTGTCCAGGGAGGTGACTTTGAACAGAGAGCTCAGAACTATGAAAAATGACGCAACAGATTTAGAAAAGAGCCAAGTAGAAATTCCAGAACAGAGAAATGGGGCACAAAGGTTAGCTCGGGGGCTGGGGGTCATAGCAGGGTGGACAGTGGAATCACTCTAGGATGGGGGGCATAGGAGAGCTTGTGGGCCTCTGGCAACTTCCAGTTTCTTACTTGCATGGCGACGTGAATATTTGCTTTGTAACAATGTATGGAGTGCTATATTTGTGTTTTGTGCACTTTTCTGTCTATGTGTTTTCTGCATCAGTGAAAAGTTCATAAGAGAGGTTACCTGGAGTGACATGGGGATGTCGAGTGAGGTGAATGGGAAGAGAGGGGAGGAGATGTAGACAGTGCTCCTCAGGCTTTGGTGGATTGTGAACTACCGAGATGTTGTTTAAATGCAGATTCCGATTCGGTGAGTCCCTGGGGGTGACTAAATTCTGACTTTTTAACAAGCTTCTTGGTAGTATTGGTACTGTCTGTCCGCAGACGACACTTTGAGTAGCAAGGCCATAGAGGAAGACCCATGACAAATTCTGGTATTTGGTAGCAGGAGCAGGTGAGGGAGTGCATGGGTCAAAGGCAACATTTGAAGAGGTGACGGCAGATGTTTTCCTAAAGTAGACTAAGGACGTTAATCTCTGGAATCAAGAAGGCCTGTGAACCCCAAGGGGGATAAACCAAAATAGATCTGCACACGGGCCCGTCAGAGTGAAGATTATCCAAGGACCAGGAAAGCAGCCTGGGGACGTAGAGTGCCTTCAGCCTCTGACTTGTTAACAGCAACTATGGGACCTCAGAGACAGTAGAATGGTATCTTGGAAGAAATAATTGCTGGCCAGGAATTCTAGAAGAGAAAGTGTCCTTCAGGAATGAAGGGGAATGAAGGCATGTCAGATAAAATGGAGAATTGGCACCAGCCACACCACCAGTGAGAAGGACACGCGTGGGACTTGAAGCAGAAGGAAGATGAGCAAAGCTGGTATCCCAGGGTGTCGGGAGACGCTGATGAGCAGCACTGGTGGAGGCAAGGAGATCTGAGGGTACCGACTGTAGAACAGCAGTAACCATGTCTTGTGGATTTTAAACTTAGGTGCAGAAAAGAAATTTGTGATGTCAGCATTTACATTAGGAGAAGGTTAGGAAGCACTAAACAGCCCAGGATCCTTGAATTGGGCGGGCTGAGTCATGTACTGATGGGCAGGGACGTCTGTTAGGCAAGGCCGCATGTAGCAGAGAGAAATGGAGGAGCGTGTAATCTTTAAATCGTGAGAGGAAAAGGCGTAGGATCAAGTCTGGCACCAAATTCGGCTTATCAAGCCTGATGAAGCCACATGAGCCCCAAGAGGATATGAAGAGGTAATCTGCCATATAACAATCTGCTTTTGGGGACAGTGGCTCCCAGGAGGCTGGTCTGAATGGCTGGAGGCCAGCAAGTGACTGGCTTACTCTTCCTGGGGGTGGAGTAGGCGGTGGGAGGGCTAGTGCGCAGGGGCCGGGTCTCTGTGGGTCGAGTTCTCGGCAGGTGCTCTTTATCTGCTCGGCCTGATTGGGAACAGAGCCGGGGGACCAGCAGGCCTAAAAGCTGTCAGCAAACAAACATCAAAGGTGGAGTCGGACTCCAATATGCTTCCCTTGTGATGATTTTACTGTGATTCTGTCTTCGGGCCGATGGCTGAAATGTGCAGATTTCATCTCCTTGAACCAGGGCTTGTGTGAGCCAGCCATTTGTGCGGTGCCCCATGAGGCTCATAAGGTTCGTTCGGGAGCTCGAGTGTTGTGTATTTGAGAAGTGAAGTGAGTACCTTGGTCACTGTTGGTATGTCTGGGTCTCCAGAGGGGAGGCGGTGTCTGCTATGTGCGGAGACATGTGTGATGGCCATTTATGTCTTGGGGGGGGCGGGGAGTCCAGGGTTCCTGAGGTCTTCACCAAGAGGGAGAATTTTGGACGAGACGCTTTGTTTCTGGCCACATGGCTGCAGCGCTGGCAATGGCCTGAGAGCGTAAATGTGCATCTGTGGTTGGTCCTTACCTGGGGCTTCCCGGGCTAAGGTGACCGCCCGAAGTTAGGTCCACATTTATCAGGGATGTTCCCGTTAGCAGGTGGGCTGCGGTGGTGGGCCCTTCGCGTGCGATGGCAGCAGTGTGGCCTGTGCACTGCGGGATCGCTCTTTCCTGTTTATCTAGAGGGTGGCCTTCTCCAGGGTCCTTGCATGTGACACGGGTCTGAGGACAACGGGAAGCTCCTTCCTTGTGCAGAGGGAAAGCCCAACATGACCCAGACCTGCCTGGGTCCTGAGGATGCCATTTTTAGGTCAACAGGGAGGCTTCTGTGGCTGTGCTGAGCCTGCAAGGTGCTGCCCCCACATCCCCAAGACATAACGCCTCCCTGGGAAGTCGGGGGCTCAGACCCTCTGAGCACCAGCCACACCACAGGGCCCAGATGCGGCCGGCAGCATTCGCTGGATGGGTTGTTGTGTGGACAGCAGGCTTTGGCCACAAGCACTCGTGTTTTTTGGGTTGCCCTGTAGGAGGATGGGGCAGGGTCAATTCCCTACTGAGATTTGGCTCAGACTTGGAGATTGCTAATTCTGTACATGTACTGGGAGAGGATGGTAAAGGGTATCCCCACTCACCACCCCCCAAATTCATGTCTACACAGAGCCTTAGAATGTGACCTTATTTGGAAATGGTGTCTGGTTAAGGATCTCAGGTAAAATCATCCTGGATTTAGGTTGGGCTGTCATAAAGGGAGGAGAAGACACAGACACACAGAGAAAGCCCTGTGCACACTGAGGCAGACAAGTCAAGGAAAGCCCTAGAGTCTTTAGAAGGAAAGGGCCCTGCCAGCACCTTGATTTTGGGCTTCTAGCCTCTAAAACCATGAGAGAATTAAATATATATATATATATATATATATATATATATATATATATATATATTTGTTTTTTTTTTAAGCCACCTGATTTGTTATTGCAGCCCTAAGAAGTTAATATAAGACTCTAAAATGGAACACTTTGGGGCCCCTGGCTGGCTCATTGGGTAGAGCGTGCGACTCTTGATATCAGGGTTGTAGGTTCAAGCCCCATATTGGGTGTGGAGATTTATTAAAAATAAAATCTTTTAAAAAACCCAAAAAACAAAAAACACTTAAGGACATTTGGAGTGAAAAGGATGAGAAGAGGACACGCACTGGAGATGCTAACCAAAAGCAGGCTGATAAGCTATTAATGTTAGGCCAGAAGACTTCAAGATAAAAGTCATTGCTAGATATTCAGGGACGCTTTGCAATAATAATTAGATTAGCCTCCTAGGAAGATACAGCAAAGATAATTTTGGATGCACCTCAAAATTGGCCTGAACTATATAGAACAAAATTTGTGGGATTTCAAGGAGACTGGTCAAACCTACAGGCATTATGAGAAGTTTGTTACACAGCTAAAGGAAAATGATCTGGGTGGGCCCACTGAAATCCCATGAGCGCTTTGAAGGCAGAGAGTTTTCTCTGGCTGGACACAGAAGAAGTCAGAGGCTGGAGCCCTGGGGGGCAACTCACGTGAACCGGTCATTGGCTGCCATGTTGGGGGGGGGGGGCTGGGAA